CCCCCCCCCCCCCCCCCCCCCCCAGCTCTGCCTATGGCTGCTGGGGCAGCACTGGGACCCCCAAGGGCGGCCGCCCAACCACCACAGCTGGCAGCCAAAGGCACAGCCATGGAGCCAGCAGCAGCCCCAGACAGCACAGGAATGGGGGCAGCTTCCTAAAAAGAGACCCAGGGATGGTGGGGAATGATGGGGAGTTTTTGCCATCTCACCCCCCCGTTTCTCTTTTCAGCAAACCAGCACGGTCCCTCTTTTGTGATAGGGGAGAGTGGAAGGTGCGAGGGGAGCTCACTCCTCCTCGATATTTAAGGAGATAAAGTTGATTTCTTGCTATCTTTTTGTTTTTATTACTCCTCCAAAATGGTTGAAAACGTTTAACAGTCTAGCTGTGACATAAAGGGGGAAAGGTTTCATATGGAGTGTTGATAATGGCTGAAGAACTGTGCCTTAGCAGAACTATGTCTGCTCCAGTAGGTTAAATGTGACAATTACTCCTTATTTTCAAAACCAAAAGCAGAACTGGTTGGTTCAATGCTACACGAGGCTTAGGCATGCAAAAAGAATGAGAAACACTGTGTATGTGAACCCTGAGCTGGAAAGTTTACTGTGATCAAGACTATTCTGCACTATGAAACCATACCTACCCTCCCAACCTCCAGGTCCTTTGATACAGGCTGCTTTCACCAAACTGCAACACTGGTGAGAAGAGCTGAGCTATGCTGGAGACCTATTTATCATCTGACATCTCTTGCCACCAGCACCCGAGCTGAACAGTTACACTCTTAATAACAACTTCCAGGTAATAATTCAATATACAGAAACTGAGCATCCCAACCTGCACGTTGCTGTGATCTGCCTCTTGCGTGGTTCATATGATCACACAATCCCTCTGCTGACCCCGACGGAGGCAGGAATTCACTCTCTGACACAGCCTGCAAAAAAACATTCAGATGCTTCAGCTTTTCAACATGCCACAGATGGGAAGTATTGGTGGTGGTGCTTTAACAGAAACTCTCTGCTGCCTCCTTCCTGAGTGCTGGCCACTGCTGGCAATAGCATGACAGCACTCAGATATGAGCTGAAAATTACAGGTTTGGAAGATTGACTCCATTTCACCCGCAGATGTTCTATATTGTAACGATTGAAAAAGAGACTGTTGTGGTCGTCGTGTCAGTGCTCCTTGCTTTTACTTAGTTTGCATCTGCCTCTTGAGAAAGTTGGGCTTTGCAAGGTAGATGATGATGTGCCCGTGTTGTGACAGCATCTGCTGAGCAGCACAAAGGGCTCAGCTCTGGGAAACCACGAGCACAGGGAAGATGAGCTTTGGTAGCCTGAGTGGAAAAGGATTTAATGGGGCTGAGAATGATTTCTACCATATGCTTTAGCAAGTGATAAGGATGGGCATGTGCCCACATCCCAGTGATTTCAGTGGAGACCGCTCACCTGTGTTAAGGGGCAGCTTTGCCCTTTGCTGCTGTTAGCTCCAGCTGAAAGGAGGTCAGGAGGCATTGGGTTAGTGCATGTTTTCATAGCCACAGTGGGGTTAGCTGTGGGAGTTCCCTGTTTATTAGCTGCGTATTAAATATGTATGACAGTAAAAAGAAAACACTGAACGTGAATATAAATCCCTCTTGTGCCAGACAGCCGTGCAGCTGAACGGTGGGCACTGAGACAGCATCTCCAGGCTGAGTCACATCCATGCTATGCATCGTGCTGCTTCCCACCAAGGGAATGGCTGCAAAGGTTGACTGGAAGAGCAGAAGGAGCTCCAGCCCCTCCAACAGCCCAGTGCCCAAATCCCTGCTGCTGGCAGCCTTGCTGTGGGCTCTGCCAATGGTCCCCGTGCTCCTGCATCCCCCCCCCAGGGCTGCACCCACCCCAGTGCTGCCATGCCTCCTGGTTGAAGGAGAGGCCTAAAATGGACACAGCTGAGGTCTGTTTTCTTGCTGTGCCTTCCCCTGGAAAGGCTTGTCAACAGGCTGCTGTGAGCTCCCAGCCTGTGACAAACTCACACTCAGTCCATCATTTCACAATCACTGTTACTCAGAGCCTCCACCAAGAGCACCCAGCTCTGTATGGCCAATCTGAGGTCATTCCTTTTGCATTTTAATTGACCACAGGAGCATTCCCCTTTGCTGTTACGATTACCATACAGAGAAGAGTGAATTAATCGCCACCACCCCACATGGAATTTATTGTAGTTTTTTTTTTACATTATTGTACCTTTCTCTTTCACCTTTGCAGCCATCACCTCTGGTCACTCCTTCCCACCTTCGCTCTCCACAAGTGTGCAGAGTTACAGCCGTGATGGAAAGCAGTCCTACGTGGAAACAGAAGGGAAGGGCGTATGGGCTCTGATTGGAAAGGCACACACACATGTGCACAGAGCAGGCAGGGAGATGATAAACCCCACCTATCTGTGAGGAAGGAAGGAAGGACCACGTTAAGCACAAAAAAGAAAAATACAGACAGTGACCCAGTCCCCCTCCCCACCACCAAGCTTGGTCTCCACCAAGCCTGCAGCTATAGGAAGAGCTGCCTTCTGTCTGTGCCAGACATGTGCAGCACCTTCTGCCTCGCTATTTTTTTTTTATTTTGGAAAAATTAACAACAAAAAAAAATAATGATAATGAGAACCCTCTGTGGCTTTCTCAGCTCCGCTGCAAGGAATGGGATCCAGACAAACCGCTGGAGGGGAGGAAGGCTTTTGGATTCTGTGTTTTATTTTATTAGGTGTAAGTGAGTTATTTTGATTATGTTGGCAAGAAGTGGGAATAAAAAAGCCTTATGTAGCAGCAGTGCTGTCCCCTCTCAACCCACCTCCCCGTGCACACGTGCACTGCTCAGCACCCACTGCCTGACAGCATGGCCAGCAATGGCCCAGGGTGGCAAACTGACAGCCATGCCTCTGCATCCTGCAGTGCTCTGCTTTGCTGGGAGGCAGAAATGCTTTAAATTGAGTGGACTGGGCTGGGGAAGGGTTGTTGTTGTTTTAAACTGAAGCACGGAGGTAGGGAAGGAGGAACAACAACACGTGCAAAGCCTCCAAGTTTCCCCCCCCCAGCTCTGGGCATTGCACTCAGGGGATTTCCCATGAATGAGTGGCATTCCTTTCAAGCTGCCACTGGAGCTCTCTGTGTGTGGTGACATCGTGGCTGAGCTGCACCGCAGTGACAATGATGGGCAGCATCTGCCAGGCGTGAGGCCCCAGGGAAATCAGTGCTCCTTCCTGACACCTCTCACCTGCCGGCGGGGGGAGACGGGCTCCATCCTCTGCCCCTGAGCTCTGTGTGTTCCTCACATCAGTCCTCCTGCTCATCAGATCTGCAAAATATTCAACGAGGTCACTGCCAGCTGGGACTTTACAACTACGGCCACACTGTGGCCAATGGGAGCTAAATGGAGACACCAGGCTTGGATGCTTCAGCTTAAAAACACGGGAAGAAATAAAAAGCTGTCTCTCCTTCAGCACTGTCAGTGCAAGGAGCAGATGCCTAAGATGTGAAGTACAATGCTGGGATCATTCAGAATATTTCACATTCTTTACGGCTGACATTGTACCCCCAGTGCAGGTCTCCCAGCGCGGCCAAAAGCAGGCAGCACGCTTTGCAAGTCTGATGCTGAGTGAACCCTTAAATGGGAAACACGAGAGGCAGATTCAAGGCCATTCAGAATTGAATTAAAGCATATCAGGGCTCCAGCTGCCTGTGTAGCAGCAGTGTCATCCTCCTGGGCACACTCCCTATGACACGGATGTCTGTGTGGTCCAGAATGGCAGCAGGCTCCTCCCCTACCAGAGAAATCAGGGAAATCTGAGACCTGCTGTCTTCATGCTGCCAGGAAGGACCCAGAGCATGCCACAGAGTTTAAGTCATTTACAACCTAATTTGTGCAAAGATCTCAGTGGCTGACCTGACTGCCTGCATGGGAGGGTGGTCCTGAGGGGTTGCTTGCGTGCGTACACATGTACATTCATGCATACATATATATACACATATAAACATAAGGAACAGTTGGAGTGAGCAGCAATTAAAATGAACATAAAAGCCAATCAGAGGCAAATACCTGTCTGCCAGCCCCTCCTTGCCAAGCTGGAGCTGGAACCGCTCAACGAGGGAAGGACAGGAGTGCTGCAGATCAGATGGGGTTTATTTTTCACTTCGGTTTTGCCTTCTTTTCTAACAGGGATTTAGAAGCACTTACTGCACGTGTGCTTAGGACAGCCCCTCATTCCCCCATCCCCTGTGGCTCTCAGCCTGCAGCACAGCTCCTGGGGAAAGGCACACAGCTCTTTCCCCATAGCGAAGCCAATAACTGAGAGAGGAATTTGTCAGCATCTGCCTTGCTTGTTGGTGTCACAGGAGCAACCTGGATGGCTTTGACAGTGTGCATAGAGCCAGACATGCTGGCACAGCCTCTGTCCTCAGCACAGACCTGGGGAGGGGAGCACAACGAGGGATGAATAAACACTGTGTGCAGGGATGAATTCTTCCCGTGGAGCTCGCAGACGCGTAACTCAGCCTCGTTCCTGTTGGAATGAATGGCAGAACGTTGCTACAGGCAATCTTACATCGAGCAGGAGACCCAGAGCTCCCTGCAGAGCATGGAGAGGAAGGTCAGGCTTCCTCCCCCCCCTGACCTGCATCCTGCCTGAGGGGGTCTCGTGCTCCCAGCACAGCTGTGAGCTGCTGAATGTGCTGCTCCAGAGCAGGGCTGCACCCAGGGGACAAAGCAGCACCTGGTGCAGGAATGGAGATATGGAGATCTCTGCACGAAATGGAAATTTCTGAAGTGCGACTGAGCCTCCATCATCTTCTGGGATGCGACAGGAGAAAACAACTCACAGCTTTTGCTTTGCGTGTCCCCCTGCAAAGTGTTCATCCTCACCCAGGGACAGCTTGGGTGCAGTGATGGGGGAGGGCCGGGCTCTCAGCTCCCCTTGCTGGATGTTGGGAAGGGCTGCAAGGGAAGAACACTGGGAGTTGGAATACCTTAGGCTTCACCCAAACCTGCCTGCCCACAGAGGGGGGTTTTACACATTAAGATGTTCGTGGCAGGCGGTCAGGCAGCACTTGGGCTTTTCACTCAGCCCTCCTAACAGTGATGAGCTTCCCAAGGATGATGGAAAACGATGGAACAGGGGACACCTGCAGTGTCTGGCTCTGCTGTAACACCTCCACAAGAGAGCAGAGGGAGGTCATCAGTTTAAGAGAAGAAAACCAACCTTTCCACTGACAGTGCTCACTCTGCATCTCCCAGCCCACCTGCCCTTGTGCTCACGCTGCAGGAGCAAGCAGCCAGCAAAACTTTTCCGTGCTGTTTGAAGGCCCTGGGGTTTGCCTGTCATTCTGCTCAAGTGCTGCTTGAGCTGAAACACGTTTATTAAGAAGGGATGCAAACTGCAGCAAGAGCCAAGCATTCAGCAGCTGTCGCAGCCAGCAGCAAGCTCCTTGGGGTGTGCAGCCCGTGGAACAAGCTACAGTGCACTGCTGCATTTTACTTTCCCTGAGCTGAAAGAGCAGTGATGGAAGTGCATTTATAGAACAAACCTTCCTGCCTTCAGACCCTAGACGAGGTCAAGTTCGAAGCAAACAGCTCTTCTTCCCCATCTCTGCAGACAGAGCTCTAACCCACTGCCTCCAGAGCCTGGAGCTCAGCTCCCAGCAATGGCAGCAGCAGTGCCTCACCCTGCCCTCATCTGTCAGGACTGGGCTCAAAGGGCTCGCTTGCTGTATGACCTGTGGGGGCAAGGCACTTGACCTCCAGATGCAAGTCAGCCAATGGAGCTCAGCCAGCAGCAGAAAAAACCCCAAACAGCATCACGGAGCCCTTTAGAAAAGCAGATGTTGAGCTGGAGCAGTGTTTTCCAAGGAAGAAAAGTTACCAGCGCATGCAGGACGCAGCTCCCTCACTGCAGAGCACGGCGATGACATCAGCTCTCTGTGCAGCCACTTGTCCCCATCCCACGCTGGAAAAACAATTTTTTTTGTCTTTCAGGTTCAATATCAGTTCAAGCATACGTGTTTTCAGCCACATTCAGCAACCTTTAAGCAGGCAATGGACAGAACCAGCCTGCCTGCTGTCAGCAAGAGGCATTTTTCTGCTGCAGACCAAGCCCAAAGGGTTTGTGTTCTCAATGATCCTCTGTGTGATGGAGATCTGCTACCTACACAGTGGTATTTTACCAGAACCACTTTAACCACCAGGCATTTCTTAAGAGTAAGCACTTCTGTGAATGAGACGCAGGAGATCACCGAGGGCTGCCTGCCTGGTGAGCAGTGTGGGAAGGGGTGGGCTGTCTTTCAGATCCACCTTGCAGCACACTGCGTGCCAAGCAGACCCAGCTGCTGGCTGAAGGAGGAGGCAGCAAGGTGATGGCTCTTCCTAGGAAATGAAAAGGGTGCAGGAAGAACAATGGAGCTGCTGGCTGACCCAGCCTGCAGTGAGTGTGACAACTCACCACGCGTGGACAGGACTCCTCTTGCTACTGCAAGGACTGATTTCCTTACTCCACCATCTGGCCTGAGTGCAATGAGAACCTGCTCTGGTTCTCAGAGCTGCTGCAGGAGGTGCTCGTTACACACCAGGGAGCAGCAAGTTCAGTGCTGTACTGCTGCAGAGCACGTAGGGGTGGTCTGCACCAGCAAAGCCACTTCTCAGCCACACAAGGGCCAGGCAGAGGGCTGGAAATACGGGCCATGTGTTTTTCAACTTACATTTTCAAATGATCCTGAAGGACGAGCAGCATCTCTCACCACAGCTTCACTGGGTCTCAGCTCAGCAGCAGTGCTGTGGGTCTTTCATTTCTGCACAGCCCTCCTGCCCATATATTTCAGCAGAAATACAGACTGTGGCACCGTGCAAGGACTCACAGCAATGTGGGCCTTGACTAACGTATGGCACAGCAAGGACATCTGTCTGCAGGGGAAGGAGGGCACGAGGCCACAGCAGCAGAGATGCTGTGTGTGCTGGCAGCATCATCAGCTGAAGGAGAAGAATTTCTGCGCCAGGAAATGTCAGTGAGTTTGAACTAAGCTTCAACAGGAACATTTCACTGGAACAGGTTGCCCAAGGAGGTTGTGGATGCCCCATCCATGCAGGCATTCAAGGCCAGGCTGGATGTGGCTCTGGGCAGCTTGGGCTGGTGGTGATTGGAGACCCTGCACATAGCAGGGGAGTTGAAACTGGATGATCACTGTGGTCCTTTTCAACCCAGGCCATTCTATGATTCTAGGATTCTATGACTGAAGCAACGGCTCAGGTGAAAGAAAAGCAGGGTGCAACTCCACACAAAAACCAGAGGAGCTAAGGAGCTCAGAGCACTGCTTGCACCTTTGCTACAAAATGAGTGAGGAAGGGTCCTCACTGTGCCACAGAGCCCAGCTCCTCCCCTCCAGGACTTGTGATAAGGAGACATGTTGAGGTGCAGATATTTAAGAGCCCTTTGTTTCTATTGCCAGGGAGAGGTTCACACCTAGAGCCAGAATTAGAAATCCAAAGGAAGAAATAAATCAGTAATAGGTGCACATTCACCCAGGCATTTTAAGAAGAGGCCCATCAGACAGAGCCCTGCTATGCCCTTACATCCAAGCATTTTGCTCACATGCCTCCGTGCCCTTTGCCATTCAGATTTTCACCACCTCCACTGATGAAGCTCCATGCTGCTCCAGCATCAGAAATATCATGGCCATCAATACTGTTTTTGCATTTGCTTTGAGCAGCTACAAGCACTGTTATTCATCTTCCTGCCTCACACACTGTGCCCTTAGGACCACCTGTGCTCTGGCTTTGCCCTCACACACTGCCCAGCCTGGGATGCATCCCAGCCCCTCTGCCCTGAGCTTTTTACTTCGTTTGAGGGAATCAAAGCTGAATGCCAGCTCTGTCTGTGCAGGTCAGGTGTTGGCTGGGGGCCCACGGCACCCATCAGTCAATGCTTACACTGAAACTGGTGCATGGTAATGCTGGAGGGGGGGGGGTTGTGGGAAGGGGGTGGGGAGGTGCAGATATACCTGGAAAATACCCTTCCAGATGGGATCTCAGAATGGGATGTCTCAAGCTCTGGGCAAAACTGTCCAAGTAGGGGGTGCCTGATTTCCATCAGCCTTTGTTTGGGGCCCCCAAGGACTGAAAGCAGAAAACAAAACACAGAGAAACAACACAAAAAGAAACAAAACAAGAAAGGCATCGGCGTCTCCAAATACAAAAAAAAAAAAAAAAAAGGAAAAGAAGGGTGGGGAAAACCTCCTCAGCATTGACAGCAGCGCTTTTTGAACTTCATTGGTGGCACAGTCTCACATTTCCAAGGCTCTCAACACAGGCGT